TCACATGAATGTTCCAGGTATATTCTGGGAATATCATTTTGCTATGTGGGCGGTACACGATATACTCACTTCCACTCTCTTGGTGTAAGCATTCAGATTAGGATCAGTGGCCATGTGGGAAAATGTTGACTCGCCCTGGCAATTCTCGCAAAGCGGACTGTCCACCCACGTGAAAAAGTCTTCTTTAAACCAGCGCAACAGCTCCAAAATCAACATCTCTTGGATGGAAACTGGCAGTTCCACCTGGTCTAAAAAGACTCCAGATTAGGATGCTGATAGAGGTTGGTGCTTGACTTTTGGCCTAACTTAGCTTGCTTTGTTTTTGTAGAACTCTGAACCGGCTCTGGGCGGCCAGTTCCAATTCGATAACGGGAACCAGTTGCCTGGCCCTTGCAAGCAACTCGGGAGACTCGTATCTGAGACACTGATGGAAGATGCGCTCTATTCTAGCGAAGAAATGCTGTGTGTGATGCTGGAACAGCTTACTTCTTATTTACTGATGCGCTCATGCAATTGAGGTTGAAAACTTACAAATGTTACAGGGGGCAACACAATGGGTCTAATTGGGGGATTGCACTGTTGATCTATTTCCGCGCAGGGCTCTAATAGCAATCTAAAGGGATTCTCCTGGTTACTTTCAGATTTCTGAAATTTCGCAAGGATCTCCTTGACCCTGGATAGCTTGGTCAGGTCGGCATCTTGCCTTAGGAATTGTCCAACTCCCACCTGTACATCGCCGATATATTGAAGGTTTCAAATACTACTTGAATGTTACCTTCTCAAAACCCATTGCTTCCAAAGCGAACAACCCTGCCTCGCTCTGCAGAAGGGTTCGACCAGTGCCCTGGTTGGATTCCACTTTCCTTAGCGAAGCATTATCAGGCCGCTCCAAAATGCGGTCAGCCAGTTCCACCAGCAATCCCACAAGGGGGAGCACCTCAGCCCTGTGAAGTCCGTTCAGTTTTTCCAACAAGTTTTCGCAAGTCATGTTTTGGTCTTGTGATCGTTTTCACATTAGAAATATTCGCTATGGAAAGATCACACGTAGGCTATGCACTAATCAACAATAACTCCAGACTGTCTTTATCTATGACTCCAGATAGATAATATTTAATCGAATTTCCCCTTGTTTTCAAATCCACTAACCACAGATCGCAGAATAGAGAATAGTGAGTAGTCTGTGGGGCAGATTAGATATATTGACTTTCTTTCCTTGTCAAGATATGAACCATAGATAAAGACGAGAGATGAACTACATTTACGACTGGCTCATCGCAGTAACGCCTGTCATGGATCCATCATTTGGATTCAACGACACTAACACAAACTAACCCAAAATTTTCAATTTTGTTTTGTTTATGGACGGGTTGTTTACATACGCATAGCGTTTATGACTAGTATATACGTTTTTATTAGTTTTCCCTTTGGAAAGTTACTTAAACAAGGAGAAAATGAAGTCCTGCGTACGCCATTATATATCATGAAGTTTATTGCATAAACAGGGATTGTTTAATGCCTTTCACGATTGATAACGTGTAACAACACAAACACTACACTTACATATTTGCTTCTTGTTAAATTATGAAAAACTTTCTAAAATGTTCAAACTAATTAGTGATGAGCAAAGCAAGACCAAGACTTTCTCTTGATTAAAAGAGCAAGTCTTGGTTTTGATCTTGGTCTTGGTCTTGCAAGTCCTGCTTTTATATAAGCCGTAAAATGCAACGGAATTAAGTTAATAACAAGAATAATAGTTAAATTAAAAGATAATAATAATCAATAAAAAAAATATCTTTTGCATTGCCTGTTAAGATCCAGAAGATCTTCATCCAGATAAATTGAATATATTTTCATGTAGTGTAATTTACATATTCTAACGAAAGTGTAACAATGAAACAGTAAACGGTAGATATTTAAATATTTTGATTGGGCTTACAGAATTTTACTGATGAACTATTGAAGAAACTCACTTATTAATAATGCACATGATTCGTCGCAAGGATTAATTTATATTACTGTTTACACAGCAACTATGTGCAAAGACTCAAAAACAAAATAATTACTAAAGCACATTGTAAACTGTTCATAGAAATTTATTTACTGCTTGAGATTTTACTGTTTTAATTCTCCGATCCGCTCAAAATAGGAATTCGCAGGCACTATGAACATAAAAATCTTATATCTAGTTCGAGTTTAACATATATTCAAAGTAAACCATCTGTCTGAGTGTCTATATGAAAAACGGTACCGCCAATTAATACATTTGGACTTGTCTTAGGAAAGTTTGATAATCTGTGCTTTGCACAAAATAACATTGCAATTCAAACATATAATGTAGAATTTTTACACGATTCAAATACTGTTTGAATTGAAAATATTGTTCGTGATGTTCGTTTTTGTAATGGATGAGGTTTAGGAAATGCTATCTGCCTAGAGTTGGTATGCTAGAGCTTTGGGCTGTATAAAGCTGATTACTTAGTAAAACCCTTTCGCTCGATGAGCCATTCGTGTTTTCAAATCCACTAACCACAGATCGCAAAATAGAGAATAGTGAATAGTCTGTGGGGCAGATTAGATATGTTGACTTTCTTTCCTTGTCAAGATATGAACCATAGATAAAGACAGAACACGTTAAGTGGGAACAGAGGATTACTCTGTGATCTGTGGTTGTGACAATACAACACTTAACCAACGAGTTCTTGACATCAAGGCGTACAAGGTAGTGTTTATCAATATTGCTATCGAAATATTTATCATCACTATGAACACACAGACGAGCGTTTCTGGAAACCCAATAAGATGATTGCGCAAGAGTTTTGAGCTAAAAGGCAGCTGCAGCTCGACCATTTTTGTATATCCGAACACTATCATTAGCAAAGTGTGCACTGTGTTCTTCAGTATCGCCAATTAGTTCCAACGCACATTTTACAATCTCCTCTAAGGCCCTGGCAAGCTGACTTTTGCTGAAGGGTTCGTTGAGGGGTGGAACATGAACGAACAGTGTTCGCTGATTGTTGTGGCTCAGCGATACATAATAGATAAACTCGCACAAGTACCTAGAACGGGGACTGGTTTCATTTCTAGTCGGGGACATTCAGTGGCTCGTTACCGTCCCGGGTCATTGGAAATGGACGCTTTCCAGGTCGAGTCCTGATTAAGTCTCTCGCATATTGTCCTAGCGCATAGGCTGGTCTGGATAGTGTCGGCCTGTCCGTAACAAACTTGTCCATTTGCTGGACAAGTGTCCTCAATATCAGCTCGTTTGTAGCCCTTCTTATTGGCGCAAGTTTCAATCTGAATTTCCCTAGTTGCCGAAGACACGCCAACGTGCACAACAAGCTAAAACCATTGGGGGGGTTAATGGGAGAAAGTGTCGCCAAATCTGCCCACCTTAGGGTTGTACCGATGCCAGAGGCGAGGCACGATTTCCTCGACTTGCCTATACAATACGGGAATTTCTTGTTTGACAATGGTACATCCAGCGATTGTGCCCGGCAAAAGGGACACAGCCTCCCAACTGGCGTTCACTGCATGTTCGCCAAACGGGCCGAATCCGGTTACCAAAACAACATCACTTTCTGTCATCATCTACAAGAAATCCAAATAAAACACTTGCCAGGTAGCGCTCGGAATCAAACTCGAATATTTAAAAAGCGAATAATTATGTGTAGTCATAACTCGAATATCCGAATACTCGAATA